TCCAGTTTTAAGTCCGGATTCGAATCCTCAGGGAACTAACCTATCTATTACAGCTCTTGGCAATGCTATTATCAACTCAAAAAAAATTCAGATGCAAAATTTTTATCAATAAAGACTGCGTTTTTGTTTAACTACTTCAAATGATATTAAATATAACAATATGCTAAATCAAAGATAATTTAATGGTAAAAAGGTCTAGGGTATTGATTTCCCCAATTGCTAGTTTAGGCTTTAACTCTTTTGCTATGATCTCGCCGTAATACTCTATGAGGATTATGAGCTATGGGTTATCGTAGTTATCTCTCGATCAACTATGATAATTTACTAGAGCATTCTCTTGAACTACTCTAGCTGATAATTTGTGCAGCTCTGAATTATCCCACCAAAGTTTCATTATCTCTAACCCCACTTTTAAGTTCAAGTAATGAATCTTTTCAATTACTCAAAAGTGGTGTTGTTCAACAGCAGTCTAACCTAGTATTCTTTCTCAAGCAACACAAGGCAATTAGACACGATTAATCAAGGGCTCATTCAATTAATCACCATACAAAACATAGTTGAACAATCATATAATAAACCCGGCTCGATTATACAAAGTTGAGTCAAAACTTCATCCAACAATTGGTTCCATCAACCCTAGATCAAATGTTTAGCTACTCATAACAAAGTAAGATAAAACTACTAAATTGTTCATAATGTGTAATTGCGATAATAAAGAGAAGATAGAAAAACTCTAGTGTTTGGTTGATCTTCTCACACTTGTTCTTGCCTCCAAAGTAGTCTAAAAACAAGCATGATACTTTCTTGGGCGAGCTTCTTGAGTTTATAAGGGTTTGGAATAAGTTTTCCCCAAGTTACAATTTGGTCCCCAAAATTTCCGGCAACTGCACAGTTCACCACGACCGCGGCAGAGCGCGGCGCGACCGCGGTGAGAGACAAACATTTTGCCTCACGTCTTTGGCCTGCCGCGGTCCAACCGCGGTCGCGGTGGATTTAAACCCAATCCACTTTTTGCTTCTTTTCACTCGGGTACTTCTTGATTGGACGTTTTCTTCACATTATTGACTCCAAAACACTCCATAGCTCTTCCTAACTTGGATTAGTCCTTGCGAAGCAAAAGAATACCAATTAGAGCATTTTGTTATCATTTAGTCTATAAAACAACAATAAAGCATGGTATAATTAGGGTGTAAATATCATCTATGTAGCCTATTATCAACACCCCACACTTAAATCATTGCTAGTCCTCGAGCAATCCACGACACTCTATCAGAATTCCTTCCCTAAGCTTTTCCCTTAACTTATCACACCAAGAACAATTCACCCAAGTTGCACCTAGTAGTGAACAACATTTGCTTCAAAAGTCGACTCTCGCGTGCCGTGCAATATTCGTACTTACTCAAACCACTTTATACATAAGTCAAGATTTGCCTCTCCTTCGTAAATCACATGCCCTCACATCACACAAGAGAATAGTTCCACAATTAATATTACTAAGAACAATTAGGAACTCAGATGGACAAAATTTGCTCACTCTCAAAAAGAACATTCACATGCCACAAAGATGCACCATAGGCTTTCCCGTAGTGTACTACTCTACTAATTGAGCCTATTCAGTCTAAGATCAATTAGGACTTCACTTGGTTGTAATGCAGGCTAAGGGATGGGTAGGATATATTTGGATATAGTGACTAACCTCCCTAAGCACTTTTAATACAATCACATTAACCTTCAAAATCATACTTATGTCAACCAGACGTTCCACCACATATTTTATTTATAACATCCCATTCCTTTAGGTGCATTTGTATAAAGCTACCACTTATCAACTACTAAATTTATTCATTTTTTTACGTGGTGCTTCTTCGTTTACTTTTCCAAAAACTGCACCTTTCCTCTATTTCATTGATTCCACTCAAAAACCAAACCACCACCCCACACTTTAACTTTTACATATGACAAGGCCATTCAAGTGCTCATGGGAGGTAAAAGTGGTTCAAACAGGTAGCTATTCAAAATGTTGGGTAAGGTTTGCAATGTGGTTGCCAAAGTAACAGGCTTATAGGCTCAACGGTGTTAACTACGATGTATTACATTTAGGTGGGTTTACTTTATATATCTAGCTTAACAAAGAAATGCCTATATCACTTCTAAGACTGAATGAAGCTACTATTTCGTTTTGCAAACACACATGGCAAGTTTTAGGCATCAACTATAAAGCATAGAATACAGTACAGCTCACGCACGCATGGCACATGACTCACTCTAGATTGGTTTATCAAGACACTCTCTTTTGAGTGTTCAAGTTAGTTACAAACATACAAATTTAAGGCACTTTAGCAAGAGTCAACCACTAAGACTAGGTGTTACACTCTAGTGTCGACTATATTCAGGTGTATTAACGCCAAGGGTTTCTCCTTCTATTTCAACTCGTAGCCTATCAATACTAACTAAAAACTAAAAACAAAATAAACAAAAACTACCTACACCCAGTTCAAGCTAAACCCTTGGAAAAGAACCGTGATCCAAAGAAAAACCAAGGGGGAGTTACTGCACTTTCTAAAATAAAAAAAATCTTTTTGGTATTTTCTCTAGACTTACTTCCCTCAAGAAAACTGTCTAAAAGATCCGTCATCAGGAAGAGTCCTTATATTCCATTTTTTTTTTGTTTGACCAATGTCCCTCAAGAGACCTATCGAAAGGTGTCCGTCTTCGGGCCAAGTTGCAGTTAACTAACATGACCCAACAATACCAAACAAATAAAAACAAAAAAGAAAACAACATCATGCACAGTTATTACAACAGCAGCCATCTCCCACCCCACACTTAAAACATTGGCATGTCCCCATGTCAACAAATATAAAGAAGAGTAAGCTAAGGGGACTTCCCTGAAGCTCAATCCTGATCAGAGACGGTTCTAGGATCGAGGTGACACGCTTGTCCTAGTGCCCGAAGCCATTCCATGATCTTTCTCTCCGACTTGGCATGTTGAGTGGTCAAATTGTCAACTCTGGTGCCCAGTTCAGTGACAGAAGTGCGGAGACCAGCCATGTATTGCTCCAGGGCTATCATATGTGTACTTCGACGGGCCTTTGATGGGCCTGCTTCATCATCTCTCGGAGGTGGTGGTACAATAGCATTCTCAGCATACTCATCAGCTTCATCATCATCCTCAACCATAACTACCGGCTCTCTCCCAATTGAGATTTTGCTAGCCCGGAACGGGGCTTTCAATGGCAATTTCCCATCAACTCTGGGATTTTGAGGAACTCTTGCAGCATGGCACAACCTGGTAACCAGAGAGGGGAAGTAAAAACCTTTGAGTACCTCGGGGGAGCGAATAAACATCTCGTCATGGAGGAGCCTGGCGACATCAAAATCCTGGTGGGTCATAAAAGAGTAGATCGCAGTTGTTCGTGGCCCATTGACATCGGTTGTATTGGTGGAGGGTAGCAGTCAGCTATTGATAATTGTGAGCCAACACTTAGCCTCCCAATTGAGAGATCGTGAGTTCAATGTGATCCGGTGCTTTATCCATATATGCTCCCTGTCTGGCACACATATTGCTTCTAGAATTGGTTCCCACCAGATAGTTGGTGATGAGAAGCAATGTAAGTATCTCTATCCCCTGTGAAAACTAGCAACCGGTACACTCGACGGATGGCCTCGAGGGATGCATTTACCTGGGTGTTGCGTATTGTGACAACCTCATTCTCATGTTCCGGGCAGTTAGCATAGAATTCTCCAACCATCTGTACATTCGCCTCCTCCGGTTACTCAAAGAAGATGTCCAGCTGACACCTCCTCAACTCAGCAAAGATATTTGGGCATTCCACTTGCAAAGCGTCCTGGTCAATATGCACCTCCGGTAACAATTTCTTTAACGCCTTGGCATTATATCTGTCCTCAGTCGGTTTGGAGACAAACCTAGTACTGTCAAACTGTGCCGCACTAGCTTGACCTCGAGCTCTCGAAGGACTGCCCAGTCCACTAGCAGAGGACCCTGTGTTGCGTCTCTTTTTAGATGGATGCATTGTACCTGCCAAACATAGAATCTCCTATCAGTGAGGGTGTGAGTTGTGTGAACTATGGGTGGTTACTCAGACTTCACCACTACCATGATCACATTAGCCCTTAGAACTCCATTGGGTAAATTCCACAAACACCTTGTGAGCAAGGCACTATCCTAACACATTAGCCCTTATGAATACATCAATTCCTCCCCCAAATCAACAATTGATACTTCACCATTCAACCCCCCCCCCCCCANACCATTAGTCTTACACATACAAACACACACTTCTCTACAACATTTTGCACACACCTCTCTACAACATTGTACACGTAACCCATTAAAGAGCAAAACAAGAAAATCAAAAGAAAAAAATTCTACTAAAAATACTACACAATTAAACATTGAAATAACATAAAAAACTAGAACAAAAATACAAGAGAATAGAGAGAAGCATGCCATACCTAGGATGAGTAGAGAGTGAGAGAAATGGAGGTTGGGGTAGATGGTTGGTATTGGGAGAGAAGTGAAGAAGAAGAAGAAGAAGAAGAAGAAGAAGAGAGAAGAGGAGATGGGGAGTTAGGGTTTAGAGAGAGAGAGGAGATGGGAAAAGTGAGGGGATGGGGTAGGTTGATATTGTTAGGGGGGTTAAAAAATTAGAAAATAAAAGAAAAAGAAAAAGAAAAAAATTGAAATTACTTACCTGGCGACGAACTTTAGCGAACCTAACTCGAGGCAGAATGTTCGTGTTTTACCACGGTCGTGGTGGTCCGAGCAACTGGGAGGTAGAATACTCGTCATTGACCGCGGTCGCGGTCACGAGGATTTTTTTAATAGGAAGTTACAGAAGAAAACAAAAACAACAACATTCATAGGTTACCTCCCACGCAGCGCCTGATTTAACGTCGCGGCACGACGCAGGCTCAGATCATCACTCCTCATTCGCGTACTGGGGCTCTTCCAATGTTATTATATCTCTATACCCTTTCTATTCTTCCATTCCAAGGTAATGTTTCAACTTTTGCCCATTCACTGTGAAATTATTCATCCCATCTTCTGATTCAATCTCAACAGCTTCACTTGAGAACATTTGCACCACTCTGAAGGGTCCTGACCATCGGGACTTCAACTTACCCGGAAACAGTTGCAATCGTGAGTTGTATAACAACACTAGCTCTCCGGATTTGAAGTTTTGGTCCACGATGTGCTTATCATGCATTAGTTTCATCCTTTCTTTGTATAATCTAGTACTCTCGAATGCGTGGAACCTGAATTCCTCTAGCTCATGTAACCTAGTGACTCTGTTGATGCCTGTTATCTCCATGTCCAAGTTCAACTGCCGCAATGCCCAAAGTGCTTTATGCTCGAGCTCTACCAGAAGGTGGCATACCTTTCCAAATACAACCTGTACGGTGACATACCAATTGGAGTTTTGAAGGTTGTGCGATACGCCCACAATGCATCATCCAGCTTCTTCGCCCAATCGATCCTTGTTGCATTCACTGTTTTCGCAAGGATACTTTTAATTTCCCTGTTGGAAACTTCAACTTGCCCGCTCGACTATGGGTGGTACAGGGTTGTCACTTTATGACGAACTCCATACTTTTCCAACAGTCGTGCGAATGCTCTATTGCAGAAATAGGTTTTGCCATCACTGATTATAGCTCTCGAGGTGTCAAAACGTGTGAAGATGTTCTTTTTTAGAAAGCATGTTATCCCTTTTGCATCATTGGTTGGGAGAGCCACTGCTTAAACCCACTTGGAGACATAGTCAACTACTACCAATATGTACTTGTTACCGTATGAGCTGACGAATGGCCCCATGAAGTCGATCCCCCATATGTCAAAAACCTCCACCTCCTGAATTGTGGTTATTGGCATCTCGTGTCGGCGAGATATATTGCATGTCTTTTGGTATTCATTGCAACTTTTGACCCAAACGTGGGCATCCTTGAACTAAGTTGGACAATATAAACCCGACTCCAAGACCTTAGCTGCTATGCGAATTCCTCCAAAGTGTCCACCATATGGTAAAGCATGGCAAGCCTGCAAAACATATTGTTGATCTTTCTCGGGGATACACCTTCGGGTCATGTTATCTACACATATTTTAAATAGTAGAGGTTCATCCCAATAATAAGACCGACAATCACAAAAGAACTTTTTCTTTTGAATTGAGGAGAGTTCATAAGGTATAATACCACTTGCTAAATAATTAGCAATATCAGCATACCATAGTGCCTCCTCCATTGTCATTGCTAGTAATTGTTCATCAGGGAATGTCTATATTATATCCTCAACCTCTACCTCCTTTTCAGCTCCTTCCAACCTTGAGAGGTGGTAAGCTACTTGGTTCTCTGTCCCTTTTTTGTCACGGATCTCCAGATCGAATTATTGTAGCAAAAGAACCCAGCGATTCAAGCGTGGCTTTGACTCCTTCTTTTCTATCAGGTACCTAATTGTTGCATTGTCAGTATAAACAATAACTTTTGAGCCAATCAAGTATGACCTGAATTTGTCGAATGCAAAAATGACAGCCAACATCTCCTTTTCTGTCGGTGTAATTGAGTTGTGCACCACTTAGCGTTCTTCTTTCATAGTAAATCGGGTGCATCAGTTTATCCTTTCGTTGTCCCAAGACTGCTCCTATAGCATAGTCACTTGTGTCGCACATGAGCTTGAACGGTTGCTCCCAGTTGGGTGCAACAATGATGGGTGCAGTCACCAATCTCTTCTTCAGCTCCTCAAATGCCAACCTACAATCATTATAAAACACAAAGGGCTGATCCTTTTCAAGGAGTTTGCATAAAGGGTTAGCAATCTTAGAGAAATCTTTTATGAATCGCCTACAGAACTCGGCGTGCCCAAGGAAACTTCTCACTGCCTTGACTTATGTAGGCGGTGGCACCTTCTCAATCACGTCAACCTTAGCATTGTCAACCTTGATTCCCTTACTGGACACTCGATGCCCCAAGACTATCCCTTCTTGTACCATAAAATGGTACTTTTCCCAGTTCAGCACTAAATTTATCTCCACAAATCTTTTGAGCACTCTTCTTAAGTTGTGAAGACAGTCCTCAAATGAATCCCCCACCACGGAGAAATCATCCATAAATACCTCCATAATGTTCTCAACTATGTCTGTGAAAATGGCTAACATACATCGTTGAAATATTGTCAGTGCATTACAAAGCCCAAAAAGCATTCTTCGAAAGGCGAAGATGTCATACAGACAGGTGAATGATGTTTTCTCTCTATCTTTGGGGGCTATTAAGATCTGATTGTACCCCGAATATCCATCCAAGAAACAGAAGTGAGATTACCCAGCCAACCTATCCAACATTTGGTCAATGAATGGCAAAGGAAAATGGTCCTTCCGGGTGGCTGTGTTCAGTTTTCGGTAATCCATGAAAATCCGCCATCCCATGACTGTATGAGTCGAGATCAACTCGTTATTCTCATTTTGTACGACCATTATTCCTCCCTTTGTCGGCACACACTGAACAGGGGTGACCCCAATTGCTGTCAGAGATGGGGAAGATGATACCGCATCTAACCATTTGATCACTTCCTTCTTCACTACCTCTTTCATATTTGGGTTCAGCCTTCGTTGATGTTCTCTGGAAGGTTTGTGCCCTTATTCCAAGAGAATCTTGTGCATACAAAAAGTTGGGCATCACCTTTTATGTCCACCATGGTCCAACCAATAGCAGTCTTACATTCCTGTAGCACCTGTAGGAGCTGCTCTACCGGCACATCTAGAAAACCGGATAATATAATAACAGGTAAAGTAGAATCAGGCCCTAAGAAAATGTACCTGAGGTGAGTTGGCAGCGATTTCAGCTCCAGTTAGGGTGGTTCCTCTATTGATGGTTTTGCCGGTGGTATAGCCTTCTTTTCTAACTCAAGGGACTCGAACTGAGGTTCCCTCTTCCGGAATCCTTAGCTCCATGACCTACTCTACCAACCCTTCACTATCCATCTCCTCTAAATTTGTCAGGCAAGCCCCCAATGGATCTGTAGCAGTCAGGGTATCTTCGTGCAGGATCATATCCACTGCCTCCACTAGGGAGCAATTAGCATATTCACTGGGTCTCCTCATGTATTGTTGAACGCTGAATATAACTTCTTCATCGTTCAACCACATTTTTAATTCCCTAGTTTCACAATTAATCAATACTCTCCTAGTGGCTAGGAATGGCCTCTCCAGAATGGTGGGTATCTCTTCATCTACCTGGAAATCCAGAATAACAAAGTCTGCAGGGAATACAAGCTTCCCCACTTGTACCAACACATCATCAAGAATCCATGTCGGCCTTTTAGCCGTGCGGTCAGCCAGTTGCAAAAGCATCAAAGTCGGTCTAGCTCTACCAATGCCTAGTTTGGTATATATGGCCAGAGGCATCAAGTTTATGCTGGCTCCTAAGTCACATAATGCCTTTGCAAAGGCATAACTCCCAATAGTGCACGGAATAGTGAAGCTACCTGGGTCAGACATCTTTTGAGCCATGGGTCTTGTCACTACTGCACTCTAGGTCTGTGTTAGAGTTATTGTGGATAGGTCCTGAAAGTCAAATTTTCATGACATTAGGTCCTTCATCATCTTTGCATAACCTGGCATCTCCCTCAAAGTATCCATCAGAGGAATATTCAATTGAATTGACGAAGCATCTCTATGAATTTCCTGTATTGATCTTCCTTTTTTTGTTTTACCAGACTCTGAAGGAATGGTGCAGGTATCACCCTTTGTGCACTACTCTCTGTTGGGGTTCTGCAGCACAAGAGGTACCACCTGTTCTACAGCTTGTTCACTCTCCTTAGCCTTACCCTTATCATCCTGAACCTGTTCCACCACCACTTCAGTAAGTTCTGTTGATTCATCTACCTTCAATGGAACTGGAGTGGCTGGTGTAGTCTCTTTGCTGGATTGTGCAACTTCTTGCTCCCTGTCTAAATCTCTCCCACTCCGTAGACTTAGTACCCTCAGCTGATTCGGGTTTTGCTCCTTGGGGTTATGTTCGTGTCTGCTGGCAATTTTCCCTGGGGGCGGTTGTTTAAGGCCATGGACAGCTATCCCAATTGAGTTTCAATGTTCTTTATCGCTGAGTCATGCACAGCCAACTTTTCTTGTATCTTACCATTTATTCTAATGAGTTGTTGAAGCATGCCCCTGATCTCTACCATGTTGTTATCTTATTGCTGAGAAGGTGGCTGATATGTCAACTGTTGCTGGTTCTATTGTGGATAGCCCTATTGTCTCTGATATGGCACCATTTGGCCTTGGGGCTGCATCCCTCCAGGTTGTGGCATGTTTTGTATGTACTGCTGATTGGCTGCTGGTCTCCACTGATGTCCTTCTTGTCTCTAAACCCCAAAGTTGTTGACATAATTCACATCCTCTTTTGACCCTTGGTTGTCACCTTCTCCACTACATGAGCACACATAAGACTGATTAATGCAGGGTTTACACAGTCCTCCATTTCTTGTGTCAACAATATGCACTTGCTTTGTACCCATCTCATCAATCTTCTTTGTCAATATACTCATCTGAGTCATGAGTGTGGCTATGTTCTCTGCATGCGAATTATTTGGGTCAAGAGGAACTGAATGCACTATTGGTGCCAGTGTTGTACCTATCGTCATCCACCCCGACTTCTAGGACATCTTGTCAAGAAGGATTTTGCACTCGATGAATGTCTTACTCAAAAATGCACCCCCAGCTGAAGCATCTACAATGGCCTTTAGATTTTCTGCTAACCCCATATAGAATCACTGGCCAAGCATCTGCTCTGGAATACCATGGTGGGGACACTTCACTAGCATCCTTTTGAATCTTTCCCAAGTTTCCTGCAAGGTCTTAGTAGGATGCTGTTTGTACTGCAATATCTCATAAATCTGTCTTGCAGTTGGGCGGGTAAAACTTGTTCAGGAACTGCTTGATTAATTCCTCCCAGGTGACAATGGAATTTATTGGGAGCGAATTCAGCCAAGTCTGAGCTTCCCCAGTCATAGAGAACGGGAACAGTAACAGCTTGATAGCTTCTGGGGTCACATTTGGCTGCCTTTAGGTCATACAAATCGATAGAAAATTTTTCAAGTGTTGTTGAGGGTCTTCAATGTGTGACCCAGAGAACAATCCTTTATTTTGCAGAAGATGCAGCATGTTGTTGGTGATTTGGAATGTCTCCGCTTGTATTGGGGGCACAGTAATGGCAGTGGCCAGGTTGTCAGCTATTGGTTGTGCCCAATCATAAAGTGCAGCTTCTGGCACAAGAGTGCCACCACTCTAACATTTTGGTCAGCTGGCCCATCCTTGATGTTTTCGTTGACGTTATTTACGTCACCCATGTCAATTTCAAGTTGGTGTGTTTGTTGTGATTGTTTGTTCTTCTTGTTGGCACGGTTCAATGCCCTGAATGTTTTCTCGGGGTCTGAGAGTCCTTCAAGCAGTTCGCCAGTCCTCGAAGAATTTCTAGGCATACACCTGAATTCTGCAAGAGTTCGAACGTGAGAATTTCAATGGAAAAAAAATTATTTAACACCTTAGAAAATTGATATAAACTAATAATTCCATCACTACTTCTAAGATGTAATAAATAACACTATTAGCTCCCCGACAACGGCGCCAAAATTTGATCACGCCCAACTATGCCTTCTAAAAGACAAAGTGGTCGTTATAAATATAATTCGATTTTAAGTCCGAAGTCAAATCCTCAGGGAACTAACCTATCTATTACAGCTCTTGGCAATGCTATTATCAACTCAAACAATTTCCAGATGCAAAATTTTATCAATAAAGACTGGGTTTTTGTTTAACTACTTCAAATGATATTAAATATAACAATATGCTAAATCAAAGATAATTCAATGGTAAAAAGGTCTAGGGTATTAATTTCCCCAATTGCTAGTTTAGGCTTTAACTCTTTTGCTATAATCTCGTCATAATACTCTATGAGGATTATGAGCTATGGGTTATCGTAGTTATCTCTCGATCAACTATGATAATTTACTAGAGCATTCTCTCGAACTACTTTAGCTGATAATTTGTGCAGCTCTGAATTATCCCACCAAAGCTTCGTTATCTCTAACCCCATTTTTAAGTTCAAGTAATGAATCTCTTTAATTACTCAAAAGTGGTGTTGTCCAATAGCAATCTAATCTAGTATTTTTTCTCAAGCAACACAAGGCAATTAGACACGATTAATCAAGACCTCATTCAATTAATCACCATACAAAACATAGTTGAACAATCATATAATAAACCCGGCTCGATTATACAAAGTTGAGTCAAAAAACTACTAAATTGTTCATAATGTGTAATTGCGATAATAAAGAGAAGATAGAAAAACTCTAGTGTTTGGTTGATCTTCTCACCCTTATTATTGCCCCCAAAGTAGTCTAAAAACAAGCTTGATACTTTCTTGGGGCGAGCTTCTTGAGTTTATAAGGGTTTGGAATAAGTTTTCCACAAGTTACACTTTGGTCCCCAAAATTTCTGGCAACTGCACAGTTCACCGCAGTCGCGGTAGAACGCGGTGCGACCTCGGTGAGAGACAAACATTCTGCCTCGCGTCTTTGGCCAACCGCGGTCCACCGCGGTCGCGGAGGATTCAAACCCAGTCCACTTTTTGCTTCTTTCTGCTCGAGTGCTTCTTGATTGGACGTTTTCTTCACATTATTGACTCCAAAACACTTCATAGCTCTTCCTAACTTGGATTAGTCCCTATAAAGCAAAAGAACACCAATTAGAGCATTTTGTTATCATTTAGCCAATAAAACAACAATAAAGCATTGTATAATTAGGGTGTAAATATCATCTATGTAGCCTATTTTTGGGAAGACTTTATTTTTTTCTGCTTCTCAAAAACTGATCTGTTTGTACTCAAAAATACTTTTTTTTCTAAAGCTTGGTCAAACATCTTAACTTTGGGAGAAAAATACTTTCGGCCCCAAAAAATGCATTTTTAACCAAACAGAAGCATGATAGGGGAGTAGCTAGAGTGCTGGGAGCGGGTTCGGCCGAACCCAGTGGCTTTGGTTCGAACCATGTATTAGTCTTAAATTTTATGAAATATGTATAAATTATTAATTTAGAACCCAGTAACTTCATACGAATAGAATCTTGAACCCATAAGCTTGAAATCCTCGCTCTGCATCTGAAGCTTGACCAAACAAACTATAAATGTATTGTCACGACCCAAAATTCAACTAGTCATGATGGCACCTAACCCAATCCTCTAGGTAAGCCAATTAACAATATATAATTCCAATAACAATTTAATAAGGTAATTAAATAAAGAAATATATGAATCTGATAATTCCCCAAGGACTTGTAGTGCAAATCATGAGCTTCTAAGAATAGAGTTTACAAAGCTAGTATGAAGTACATACATCATCTGTTTAAAAAGTACATAAACAGAGTTTCATGAATCTAAGGCTGCCATGAATAAGAGGCAGCTACAACTGGAACATAGGTACGCCTTCAAATATCGCTTCCGTCGAACACAGCAACATCAGCAGCCAACATCTGCACGCAAGGTGCAGAAGTGTATTATGAGTACAACCGACCCCATGTACTCAATAACTAACAAATCTAACCTTAGATTGAAAGTAGTGACGAGCTGGAACAAAGGTCGGGTCCAACACCAATAGCCAACAATAGTTCATAACAACATAAAGCGAGTAATGAAAGAAGCAACTCAGAGATCAAATGCTCAACTTTCTCATAGTTCCCCGGAAAATAGTTCCACTTTTCAAGTATATCAGTGGAAAACCCCAAAATCCTTTACCAAAATCATCAAAAATACAAGTACGTTTGAAAATTGTGATTTTTCCTAAAAATTTCTTTCAACAATGAATGAGATGTTTCATTTTTCTTTCCAAATAGCAAGTGTAAAATACATCTCCATGTCCATATATCAATATGTGTGAGAAATCATGAATGACATGATACCATACAACATGAGGAAAATGCATCTCTAAGCCTATATGTCATATGTGCATGTCAATGCCATATATCTCATAGATGAATCATGTACTCACACTCTCAGAATACTCAATCTCATTTTCTCATACTTTCTACTCATCATGCTTAATCACTTAGTACTGTATATGGCAAATCTGGCCCAAGGAAGATCCATCCCGGAATATATACATCAACTGACCAACAGTCAGTCAATAGTGAGTAGGGCCCATTCCATCCCGTGGGGAAGATCCATCCCCAGGTATATAAATGCTTCGGACAAGATCTATGTCAGGGAAAGATCCATCCCTCAATATAATCAACAGCGCTCACTAGGGGGATGTGCAGACTCCGGAGGGGCTCCTTCAGCCTAAGCGCTATCATAAATCAGTATAACCACTATGGCGTGCAGTGCGATCCCATAATATCACTCATACTCAAACCCTCGACCTCACTTAATCATCAATCTCACTAGTCTCTTGGGCTCACATTACCATGAAACTAGCTCAGCATGATGATATAATATGCCAATAAATGGTAACAGAGAC